TTCAATTGAGGAGGGACGGCTCTTCCTGGAGAAGCCGGAAGGCTTCGACACGATCGGGGATACCCTGAAGGAAGTATGCAGCCCCATAGAACGTTTATGTGAGCAACAGGATGAGGAGCAAGTGAGACGGGCTGGCGAAGGCTTGTCTTCGCCAGACGGGGAGATTATGGTGTGGAATCTTACCTCGCAGATGATTAAGCACGAGAGATGGCGTTGAATAGAATGGTATCGCGCACCGTTAGGGAAGGTGGGGAGAGCTTTGATGGGGATCGCTCAGTGCGACGCTCTCCCTTGTTTCAACATCAGAAATGATGGGGCTCTCGCTTTTAGATACGAGTACTGGATCTCAGCAATCTTGACCTCACCGACGCAGAGCTGAGCGCCATACTAGAAGCGCTGTTAGAAGCGTCAGTCTTGCCAGAGGACGAAGTTCGGGTACCGTCTCTCGGCGCAGGCTTTCCTCTGCACACCAATACCCCATTTTATTGCCACAGTTATCGAACAATCGACTCTCCACGAGAGGTTTGGCGGATCTGTTGGAGTACATGCAGTCCGTGATGCAACCGAGACAAAAACTGAAGGTTTGTCCAGCATCGAACGATTCGGCTTCTTCTCAAATGAGGAGCAATATCAGCCCTTGGGGTCCGTGCAAAATCTTCATCCGAGTATTCTGTCTCGCTTTCTTTCCACGGGATCTTTTTTCTCCGTACTCTCAATTGCCACGGTCACTCGTTTCGTGTGTCAGTAGGCTTGTGCGCGAGATCTCAGCTCGACTGATGACTGTTGTAGCCTCCTGTTATGCTGTATCGCCGTCAGGTAGATCTATCGTGCAATGGGATATGTGACTGGGGCTTCCAGCGCCTGGCAATACTCCTGTCGGAGAGTATGATGCAGAACGTCGTAAGTGTGGCAGTGAGACCGGCTGGTGGCTGCTCGGCGACCAGTGGTCGCGTCCTGTAATCGATGTTTGGTCTCGGTGACCTCGATAGTCGGACTCACTCCGTCACACGTCTTTCAGGAGGTTAACATTGATCAGAATCGGATATCCAACCCCGGGGGTATCCTCGATGCGTACATGGCGGCTCATCGGGAGGTGAATTTTGGGGGCCCTCTCGTGGCTGAGCAGATTTCAGCAGAGTGTTTTCTCTCAGAATCGAGCTGTGAAAGAACTCCCGCGGAGATTGGTGTTCTCTTGAATTACGGTTGCTGTTTCTGTCGCACTGGTCCTTGAGTTAAGGTTTGGGACGATTAGGTGTGAGCCAAGCCGTAGTCATGGCAGATTCGTGTATCCTAGGATTCAGGTTCGCCAATTGTGCAGGCCGCACCAAAAGTCGCTACCCGGATTTGAACCGGGGTTGTCACGGCCACAACGTGACGTCCTAACCACTAGACGATAGCGACTCTGATGAAGTTCCGTACGGGGGTTATTCGCGCCATCCGTCCTCTATTTTTGCCACTACTGTCTGGGGAAGAGCAGTTGTCTATCGTTGCGTGTAGTACTGATGAGCATGGTTGATCCACGAGATTTCAGGGGAATATATCTCATTCGTTGAGTTTGGGGCGCGTAAGTGGCGGACCGCAAGTCACTGATGGTCTCTCAGCCTCAGCAGACTGGAGTAACGCGAACCCTCATGGCGCTGCTCGTCCCGTTCTTTCCAGGCGCTCGTTCTTCCAAGGTGTGACAGAAGGACAAAGACAGCTCCTCTGGTGGCCCATAAATACGTCTACGTTATCGTCTATATTGTCTACGTTATGATAACGTATGGTAACGTCGTTATCTCCTGTAGTGTTAGCGTAGACAAAGGAGCCTAACTCCAGACTCGAAGTTAATCTACGGGAAGCCAGTTGGTAGCTGAGAACGTAGCGTCGTCGCGCCGGTGTTTTCCACCTGAACCACGAGCGAATCGAGCGGTACTTCCTCAGCCTTCCAGTGCTTGTGCAGCAATGTCTATCCTGGCGGCTACCGGGCATCTGAACTTGGACACTTTCTCTGCCGAGTTCATCAAGGCATTCTGGGCTCCCACTGCGGTCACCGTCGCGTGGCTGATACAATACGGAATGATAGACTTCATTTGCATCGGTGCCAGTCGTAAGACCCATGAGACACTGGCAAGGGGTGGGGGTTCAATTCGTACGCCCAGGTACTTACTTCAAGTGGGGCTTCCCGAAGGGAGCCGAGGGCGCCCCAGAGCCTTTATGTCGGGCCATGAGAGTGCATATGAATCAGCTCGAGAACAGTAGGATAGGCCTCCTTCACCGACGTCAAATCTCTTCGCCAGTTGGGCATAGGGTTCTATTGACATGCAGGTAATCACATGCTCTTCACCATGTGGCTCTGCGCACTCTGTGGGCTGCCGAGGTTTGCCGGTGCCTTCGGAGCCCTCTGGGTCGCGGTGAGATGTATGTACGGCTTCAAGTGAGTTCCACAACTCCGCTTTGGATGACCCTTCACGATCGTCGAAGTGACACTATCACCGATGGTCCTGTTATGGGCGGTGTTCTCGCGCCGGGCTGCTGTCACTATTTCTCGTCCCTCAGGTATCGTATGACGAAAGGCAATTTGAAGGGCATTCTGCAGTTCACCGTCCCTAGTTACGTCATCGTGCAGACTTTTTACTTCAGTAACGATTGGGCTGGTCGGAGCGGAGCGACTTTGGCCCACAATTGATTGAACCGTCGTGGAAGTCTCGTACGGCTGTGAAGGGGCCGTGTCGTTTACCATTGGAACTTCTGATCGCAAAATTATCTCCCTATTAGGGCACTCCTAAATCATTGCGATCATTATTTCCAGGCTTCTGGATTTTCCGGGGGTGATTTTCAGTGTCTTACTCACAAGAAATACTCGTACTCGTACATTAACCCACGCCCATCATTACGCCTCTTCTTCACCTCTCAGTGATCGCGCAAAGGATACTAAAAGTTGCGTTCAATTTCGACGACTTCAAGTCCTACATCGGTGCTGGAGCAGTGGTCCTGACTGCCTACCTGCTCATGCTGGGCACTGCTATGTTGCAGAGAAAGCACTGTGGAGTATGGGAAAAGAGCCAGAAGAAGGAACAGTGAACAGGATTTTTCATTGAACGTGGGCACGATTACGTCGGAGGTGCAATCCTCCTCAACAGCCGTATGCGACGTATTTGCACTAGGCCCGAGAACACTTCTCTCGTGCCTTAGTGGCACATAGATAGCTTTAAGCATCTTTTTCCTTCGTATAATGATGTTGGGGTGTTGTTTCAGATCGCTCAATTCAACAGCGCGGTCCTATCAGACTTATACTCCAGTATTTGGGTTCATGTCGACGGACTATCTTCGAGGTGGAAGAGCGTATTTCCGTTTCGCGCCTCTGTCCAGAGTAGGCCCTGATGATGTAACTTCTCTGACCATTGTTGGCCGTGACTCCAGGCCGTGCCCTTCCACACCACATCAGGCCGTAGTCACTGCGGCAAGCTGGATTTACACTTCTTTATGCCCTCTCCTATATCTCCACGCTGTACTGAGTTGTAGTGCACGACTGAGCATAGTGGACGTTGCCTCTTTTTGTGCATGCGTGCTGCGTGCAGCCACGTGGACTTTTCCGCCGTACGTGAACGCATCAATCGGTCTCCATCTTCATAGTGCTTGTGCAGCAATGTCTATCCTAGCGGCTAACGGGCGTCTAAACCTTGACACTTTCTCCACTGAGTTCATCAAAACGTTCTGGGCTCCCAGTGCCGTTACCATCGGATGGCTGATACAATATGGAATGGTTGACGCTATCTGCGTTGGTGCCAGTCGTAAGACCCATGTAACATCATGTTTCATCATTTTGTTCAATCAGGCAACTACTTCAAGTGGGGCTTTCCGAAGGGAGCCGAAGGGGCGCCGGACCCACTGCGTCGGGCCATGAGGGTGCACATGAATCAAACTGAGAACAGTATGATAGATTCTTGCGCCCCGACTCGTGTGCGTCTTTGAATTCGGCTCTCGGAACCCTCGTGAGGAAAATCCCAGCGTCGTAGCGTCTCCGCAGAGGGCGGCTGCATAGCCACATTTTCCTCAGGTAACCATATGCTCTTTAGCATGTGGCTCTGCGCACTCTGTGGACTACCAGGCTTTGCGGCTACGTGCGGGGCCGTCTGGGTTGCTTTGAGGCATATGTACGGCTTCACGTAAGTTTAGGACCGGTGTCGAGGGTCTCGCAACACTGGCCGTACTTGACTCACTCCGTCGGTCATTACTAATGACTCATTAGTGTTGAATACATGTCAGGTTCTTCTTCTCCCACGGTTTGCTTGCCCCACAGGTATCGTATGACGAAGGGAAGCTTGAAGGCTATCCTGAAGTTCACATTCCCGAGCTACGCCGTCGTACAAACCCTCTATTTCAGTAACTTTCAGGGCAGGCAGAGCCACACTGGGTTCGGGTCAAAGATGCGATCATGACTCTGGCGACGCAGGGGTGTAACTGTGTATAAATGTGCTGCAGTGTGTCACGAGAATGATCATCTGGACACCCTCGGGTTCTCTCCCCCGTATTCGCTCCATTCATTCGTCAAGATTACGGCTCAGACGTGCTCGTCATGAGGATCAAAATGTAGCGGTTGTTCTTCTCTCAACCTCAGAGGTCGCGCAGAGGATACTTAAAGTGGCGTTCGATCTCGATGACCTCAAGTCGCATCTTGTCGCTGGCGGAGGGCTGATCGCTGTCAACTTATTCACGCTGGGGGTCGCTATGTGCCAGAGAAAGCACTGTGAAGTATGGGATAAAAGTCAGAAGGAAGAGTGATATCCCCCAGCCTGGTGTCAAGCCGGCTAGAGAGCATCGTCCTCAGTAGCCCTACGCAGACTTTTTGAGTAGTTTTTGTTCTGTGCTTGCACGCTCACACCGGATTGGGGGAGCCGTTTCCGTCTCTATCGGTTGTGAAGCTCTGTGTTGGTGCTCTTCGAGAACGGCTCGACATTTCCTCGTAGTTCTCTATCGACCAATGGCTGAATCATGGCTGTAAACAGTTTGGATCATAAAGTCGCTACCCGGATTTGAACCGGGGTTGTCACGGCCACAACGTGACGTCCTAACCACTAGCGACGATAGCGACTCCATGCAGTCCGTCAAGCAAGTCCCGTCAGGCCCATATGAGTATTTGCGCTTCCAATGTCTACTTTCAGCTAAGCATGCTAGGGGGTGATATTGACGCCGCGTCCTCAACCGTCGCAGTCAGCTTCGATCTTCCATATCACGCAAATAGTGTTGGACCTAGCGACAAAAAAGTGAATCCCGTCGCATCAACGTATTCCCGCTACAGAGGGCACTGCTGTCGAGCGCTCCTCTCCTAGGGTGTCATCCGATTCTGAATCAGAATTTCTGATGATCAGAATGTCTCGGGTGGATCCACTCAGCGATGTGGGGTGCAGTAACGGTCGGTCACAGGAGCCCAGAGTCGCTGCCAGCCACTGCCTGCGAGTACGTATCAGGCATTCCCTGACAGTTTCTCGTCTTATAGGTATCGTATGAAGAGGAGAAAATTGGAGACCATTCTGTACTACAGAATCCACCGTCCCAGGCTATGCCATCGTGCAGCCCGTGTATCCCAGGAACTGATTGTTCTATCCGCCATACGCCAACGATCTGAGAGTCGTTGCGTCACTAACGCGCCCATTCTCAGATCAAACACGCAGCGTCAGGGTTGGTTTTTATTTTTGGGGACTCCCCTGAACATTTTGAAGCTAGGTTTTACGTTTTGATGGCATCGAGCCCTGTCTTACTGCTAACGGAGGGCTCATCACTGCAGCAGCACACCACAGAATTTTTCAATTGGCCTTCCACATCCAGTAGGAGCGCTATCACCGCCTTGCGAAACCGTTCCGCTGAAACAATTTCAGTATCCATTATGTAAAAAGCATCGCATTGACATTCCTTGTAGATAGGACTGCCATCCACAGAGTGAGTCTCCAGACATCCATGAAAGCCTTTCATCGAAAGGTGACCCAAACACTCCACTTCGAGCGAGTATACGAAGTTTACTCGCTCGGAATATAGTCGCTACCCGGATTTGAACCGGGGTTGTCACGGCCACAACGTGACGTCCTAACCACTAGACGATAGCGACACAAACGTTTTAACGGAGGACAAGGTCGTTGCCGCCAACCTTCGTATTGCCCCGGTGCTTCCCTCCAAAAGTTGTCTTCCGGTTCTCCTGTCCCTCTCACACAATCATACCTCATTGGAGGTTTCGCAGTATTTCTTGATGGATCCGTGGGCACTCTCATTGCTCTCCAATAATGACCATCGCTTGGGCTGACGACTGTTCCGACCGAGGTCCGATCTTGGTAAGGAGGGGTACGAGCCGTCCAAGAAAAGAGGACTTACACCATTCCGTAAACCAAAATGCCCAGACCCAGGATCGAACTGAGGACCTCCAGATCTTCAGTCTGGCGCTCTCCCAACTGAGCTATCTGGGCTGGAATATACACATTCACTCGCTGGCTTGAGCATGCGAGCGATCAAGCGTCCCTTAGTTTGCGAGTGAGCAGTATAGCGCGATTATGTCACAGTCCGACAATCAGAAGGATATGATTCCTATCTTAGGAATAGAAAAAGGTTCTACATTCATGCACCCACAAAGCGATTCCAAACTCCTAGCGCTAGATCCGAATTCAAACCAACCAATCGAGAGTATCTCTTCTCTCCACGGGCGCGCGCCGCACTCTTTCACGACCCTATCCGCTCCCTTCAACTTGTTCTCAATTCTTGATAACTACACACAATCAATTCGTCTAACCGTACGAGGCAAGTGGTCGAAGCTAGGCGACACGATCAGGGTAGGTATGCGGATCCTGATCCACGGCTGATCCTGAGAAAAAAATCAGACGGATGGATCAGGTCTTGATTCTTTCCACTATATTCCTAAGATTTGTCTCGAGTACCGTTTATCACGATCAAGTGGGTGATCCACGTATCCGAATCACTATCCATGGATCAGATCGCACGTGGATCTCATATTTGAGGATCAGAATACTCCATGATCCACTAGCTCAGTGGATCAAAGTAGGTTATCCGAATCATTCAAAGGTACGAATGCATGATCCGAAAATCGTCTCACGCACAGAATCACTCTGTTTTACCGTGTTATAGAGGCCCGATCCTGTTACGGCGCCATTCCTTAGCGGTACCCTCAAGTTGATCTGATCCTTGATCTCCCTGGGTCTTAGATCAGTAATTTGAATAGTCAACGGTGAGGATAGAACCCGGAACGTGTGCTTGTCTGACCGACGACCTAACCTGCCGGGCTGTTTAGCCGGACCCCGATCGAAACGCGACGAATGAGCCAAGAGAGCCAGACTCCCATTTTACCTAGCCGTGCCCAATTCTAAGGCCTACGTGCTCCGATCCGCGGGACCTGATCCGTCGACTCCCTCAGCTGAGTCATAAACAATCACCGAAATTTCTCAACGAGGCCGAGAATTTCTCAGATCCGCGATCCACGAATCACGGATCACGAATTTGTCTCACGGATCAAGGATCAGAATCAAAAATGTGGATCACGCGTAATCTGGATCACGAATCGCGTATCAGGATCGTGGATCAAGATTCTGGCTCATGAATCAAGGTTCAAGATCAAGAATCACGGATCAGAATCGTCATTGCGGGATCTGGATCGGACTTTTCGGATCTTGGTATGATCTGGTTCACGGAGCCGGATCAATGGTGCCCCCGGATCATCGTCCAGATCCGTGGATCAGGATCCGCATACCTACCCAGGTAGCGCCCGAAATCTACCCACGTTCACCGCCTTGGCAAGACCGACGTTGGAAATCGCAAACAACTCATTAACCCCATCTTTATGATTAGTGATCTCTGATACACGGTAGTCAGCTGCCAGGGAGCTGTAGTAACAACTGGGCTGCAACGTGGAAAAGACTACTCCTTATGTTCCCAACCAACACAACGGGCTTTAAATCACAGTGGAAATGTTCACTGCTGCTCATGCAAGATGCCTTACGTATACGAGCGAGACCAGCAGGTTACTTCGCTCCATATATTTGTGTACGTGAGAGTAATTATACGGTGAGCAAATCTACCAGCGGTTTGTAGAAGAAGCCTCTCGGCAACTTCCAAACGACCGCAACAGCTGCAGCAGTACGCTCTTCGGGCATGAGCGGCAGCACGGACCACTTGCCGACTCCCACGATCTGACAGTCCATCTCATCGAAGGAGAAGAGATAGCAGCGAGCGCAACTCAGACGTCGGAAGTACCACGGGTGAGACGATGTCATCGGCATTGTCATTACGGGGCCTTTGACGATTAGGGACAGGCGTGAAAGGTTCGTTCTAAGGAATGAAGAGTCATATGGAAGCGAATAAAAACAAACTCACCTGCAACGTTGTTCTCGACTGGCTTCCGGGGGACGGTGGCCGAGGTGGGCTGCCCATGCGACACAAATCTTCTTCTTCGTGGTTGACAAATAAATCGGGAGAAGGAGGCACTCGGCACGGAGACCCATGTAAGGTACTTTCGCCTCCAACGACGACAGCACCGATCCCCGGGACATGAACAGAGACGCCTGAGGAGAGCAAATGGGCGCAGAGATGAAAATAGAAGTAGCCCGCTGAACTCACATCCCCCTCGTTTGTGTGCCATGTCACCAACAATGCGAGATTGAGCCTCAATGTCCTTCAAGTTGATAACCTCTACCGTAGAAAGCTCCCGCTCGACACTGCCTGGCTCGGTGAATCCACCAGAAACAATCCTACAGTAATCCTGCTCAACACAGAATGGGGAGGGCTAGCTTACAGGTTATCATCGTCGTCCACACAGACAGCAGCGGCAGCACGCCGGCTTCTGAGTTCGTGAGTGACAGTCCATCGGCCGGTCACGAGCGGAAGATTCACGCCACATCCTGAGACGAAGCGTGATGGCCGAAGCATCGCCATGACACCAGCGCCCACTGCGGAATTTTCCAAGTGTTCGAAATCCGCAACCAGGTCCAAAGTAAGGACGTTCTCCGAAGCCGTGAAGGTATCACTGCATCCACCAACCACGTGCAACCTGAAGGACATCGTCTTATCCAGATTGCCTGACATCAAATGCCACTCACATCAGTCCTCCATGAGACGCCACAAGGCGCCCTCCCGCCGTTGGATAGGGTAACTGGTGGTGTGGCGGAGCGGGTAGCCAGACATCCCCTTCGGGATCGTAATACTCCACAACAGATGTCGGGCCATGCAGTCCTGTGTTGCCACCAACAGCGTATCTACCGGAGATCTCGATACGGCGAGCTCAGCTACATCCCTCGGACGTACACGAACCCGTTAGCGATGGTGGCGACGCCAAGGCCGAAACGGCCAAGGGACAACGGCGCTGCAGGAGACCACATGCCCGTCTCGGGATCGTATCTGAGAAGCTCTACCGAGAACTGTAAATTTCACATGCGTACATGTCGCATCTGTCGGTAGGGCTAGTAACACTGTCCGTGTAACCGCCGACCAGAAGGATACGTCCATCTAGCAGCGTAGCGCACCCAGCCCCGACTCGACTGAACCCCTCAGGAAGAGGACCAGCGGACATCTGAAAGGGACGGTTGGCCTCTCGAGGATAGGAGTAGAGAATACCCATCGCTCGTTGAAAGTGTCGAAGAGGACGGATTCGTCGTGGTAGGTGAACTGGTTCGATCGTCCACCCATGACCAAGACGTGGGGGACTGCTTCACTGTGATAGAAGAACCTGAGCCAAAGGCCAGATGTCGGACACGGAACAAGTAGTTCTCGGCGACCTTGCAACGGGGCCTTCAACAACGTCCGCTGGTAGAACTTGCTTCAACACGTTCAACTTCGTGTCCATGTCGTACTCAGTCCAGGCGAGGGACTCCCAGTGTTGACGGGCGACGAGCTCGGAATCAGACGATGTTCTCCGGGCCATGTCAAGGAGTCCACAAACAATACTGACGAATTAGACCTTACTCTTCTACTCATTGCTGAGAGTGTTGAGCGCAGCCAACAGTTATAGTCACTGGGGCGCGATTGCGAAACGGTTTCGGGCATCTTGCATGCAGAGGCCTGACACCCAGGTTCGACCCCGGCACTCGGCATCATCCAAAC